CATCCATCCATCCATCCATCCATCCATCCATCCATCCATCCATCCATCCATCCATCCATCCATCCATCCATCCATCCATCCATCCATCCATCATGATGAATATTGACATAGTTCAACAAAAATACAGCCAAACTGTTTTAGTTCAACATAACCTTAAGTACTTTTGTGCTTGTAAATCTAAAGTTTTTTAAACAAAAAACTTCAAATTTTTAGTAAGAAAAAGGTCCTTAGAAATAAATTTTATATAACAATTAAAAAATACTTCATTTTAGTTAAAATTTCTTCACATATAATCATTTAATTCTCTAGAGTTCATAAATATTTACCACAAATATTTATTATAGTGTAACACTATTATGCATGCATATATATACATTTTTTTCTTACAGCAAGAAGGTCACATATTCTCCCTGTGCATTTGTGGGTTTCCTTCAGGTACTCTGATTGCCTTTCTTGCTAATGGACATTCACTTCCTGTATGAGTAAGTGCCTGAGTGATTGTCTGTCTTATTTGTCTCTGTGACCATGATAGTTGAAATGATCTGTCCAGGGTATCTTGTCAGTTTGTGAACTTAAAGCTCCCTTCACCTAAGATTACAACCCCTCTATGTTCTCCATGACCTACACATGACTTATTAGAGAATGTCTGGATCACAGCAAATTTGGAAAATCTATAATTGCTGCTGCACTCAGGACTTGTCATATGCTTTTTTTTTCTTGTCTCCTTCATTTTCCAAGTCTTAGAGACACACTCCTGCATCCCTCGCCAAGCTCTGTCTGTCGGCGAAATATTTCCATGACTACAATACACCCAGGAATGCATCATTACACGGGTACTGTTCCCTTAGATTGCATAATAATATAACAATGCTGCAGAAGAAGATACCATGTCTGACGCTACCAATCATGTCTGTGCTTGGTAGGTTTTATGACCTGGTCACAATCTGTGTACGTTTACAAAAGGTTTTAGAGTCATTTCTCTAGAAGGGCTGGATGTTGATGCATTGGTTCGTACAACTTAATTATGATTCAGTTTCACTTTGCTGCTGCAGCAACAAGAGAAGTTTTTCTGAACTCTTCTAGCCACACCTACACATCTGTAAGGAAACCTTTAAACACATTGAACTGAGTTAACCTGTTGTTACAACAGTTAGCAGAACAGTGAGCGTAATCATTCTGTAGTCCTGGGTTCTAATGTATAATCTATTTTCTGATTTCTCTTAATTTGTTTTAATTAATTTATTTTTAAAGTACAGTGCACATTAATCAATATTCCAAGAATATGAGGGCACAAGAAATGAAAGGGAAAAAAAGCTGTACATATTTTATTGCAACATAATGTTGGTATAACCTTAAAAATCATTATTTTACAAATACAGTATCTTATGTACAAATATGTTGTGTTGGAGCTACAGGCATCAACAAACCCATTAATTTATGCAGTAAATACAGTGCTTCATTTATACAAGCAACTTAAAGAATACCTGCAAAAGCAATTCAAAATTTCAAAACCTTTTTATTCAAATAGAATGTACCATCTGAAAACATGTCAAATCCATTTAAAAAAATCTTCAATAAATCAAAAAGTAACTAAAATTTTCAATTTGTTTTGTTCTTTTTGGTTTAGTTAAAAAACACCATTTTATTTGTGCATTTTAATGTAAATGACATTATGGACCAGAAAACTCAAGACAAGTCAACTGTCTTTACTGTTCCTGAAAAGTAAACCTAAAGAAATGTTTTTAGCATGAAAGTAAAAGTTAGTCACTGGATGCATTTCCTGTGTCAACCACCTTGTTTTTGACCTACTATATAGAAATACTGATGGGATCCTAATGTAGAGCTGTTCAGTCACTCAGATGAAAACAAGAGCATACCTTAACTTTCTGTTTGCTGAGTTGCATTATAAATACCTCCCGAGGTATAAGTATTCTTTATGGAAAAATGGTAAAACGATCAGGCAACAGAATAATGATGCACAACTTTAATTATTTGTAAGACTCATATCACCCTGATGTTTCAAGATTGCACTTTGAGCATCTCTTTGCTCTTTGACTTTGTTTAGTACCACTGCATAAAAAAAGTGAGAAATGCAGTATAAAATATGTTCCTTTGAGAATTAGTGGAAGGTGTTAGCATTAGGACGGATCATCATGACTACTTTCTTGAGTGAATAGGCTCCTCCCCTGAACTCTGCCCAGTAGATTCCATCTTGGTAGCGGCTGCGGTAGTGTCCTCCTCTGTACCAAACTCCATTCAGGTTGGAATGGGCACATGAGTTGTACCACCAGCCTCCCTTCTGATAGTGAGCACAGTTTCCTAATAAAATATATTTATAAAAAACAGCAGTCAGACATAAACACAGTAAACGCCGGATTTTCTGAGATGTCACTTGTTTTACCTGTGTATGCATCACGGTCTCTGTCCAGTGTTGTGAACTGTTTGCCGTTATGCCAGGTGAGGGAGTCACCAGCATTGCCATGATAGCGGCCCACTCTCAGTCTGTAGTAATCGGCTTCAGGCTCCACTCTGAAGCTGGCGTACTCTGCAAACACTTTCCGGCCACTCCAGTCCTCCAGCGTGATCAGCAGCTTGTACGTTCCCTGGTTTGTCAGCCAGTAGATGTTTTCCAGACCAAGCCAGTACTCACCATCGATGTTGCCAAATCCTTGCTGTGAAATGCAGTAAAAGAAAAAAAAAACATTATCAGAAAGATTAGGAAATCCTCTCTGAATGTTCTGAGAAACTATTTGAAGTTAATTTGGATGACCTACAGGATGATTTAGGGTCGTTGCTCATGTCCTGGGGCTAGTTTTGTGTTTTGTCTTCTTTGTTTATTGTTATGGAACATTATTTGAAATGGACCGTACAAGTCAAGTTTATAGCTTGCATCATATACCCAGGTTTCCCCTGTTATTTTATTATTGAAAACACAGCAGGATGTACTATATTGAGCGAGAAACTCAACACTGAGTGCTGTTAAATACACTTGGACTTCATGCTGTATAAGTTAGTCTGTGGTGTCTTGAATTATGGAAGCATTCATTTCGGTGAATGTACAACTGTAGTTTTGAAATTTGTGTGGTTTAAAGGTTATTTTTTTGTTTGTTTGTTTTTTACAAAAGTCTTGGCATCTCTGTTGCTGTTCAGAGATTTAATTAAGGCCCTTTTGAATTGTTGGGAATCAAGTGAATGTTTTCTAAGAAACTCCCTCTGCCTGTGGGAAGGGTTTTCCATTGAATAGATAAGGGAATAAGGTTGACATGGATAAAACTGTCTTTTAACACATATATTCTAACATATTATTAGGAAAATTAGATTTCCATGGCACAGCAAAACTGTTCAGTCAGTTAATGTGACATTTTTGTGCCCACTTTTATTCCCATGCTTGTATTTTACACTTAGGTCATTTCACAAGACATTTTGCTGGAATCATTCAGTCACAAAGTTGTGACTGAGGCAGGCACCACATAACAGTACTTTGGCAGATTTAAAAGCTTAACAGTAATTTATTTATTAGTTGTTCACATCTGGTTGGCGTCAAAACATCTAAAATGAGCCACCCCTTCCTCTTCATACAAAGTGTTTGAAATGGTGTGAAGGTGTTGCACCTTGTATGTCTCCCAGTTCCTGAAAAAGTTGACAGATCCGTCCACCCTCCTCTGGATAACCGTCCATCCACCTGGATCATGTCTCTGGTCACACCACACCTGCATGAGGCGGTTGGCATTCTCTGGCTTCACCAGGTACATGCCACTTCCCGTGTGGCCGTCTTCCAGAGCCTGCAGACAATCCTTAAATGGGCCTGACAAGACAGATTTATACGAAAACTTGGTCAACTGCAGCTATTCTCAATGACTATAAAATAGAAAATGTGAAAAAAATGACCAAACAAATTTTGTACTCTGACATAGAAAAGCCCTGGTAAAAACCAGACCCCGTCCTTCACTTTGCTTCGTACGAGGGTCTGGACTCACTGCATAGAGAAGTGATTCTTGCAGGAGGTGTGGCCTCTGCTGAAGCATGTGTGTGTTGTCGCTGTGAAGGAGGCTAAGCTAAGAAGCTAACCGGAAATCACGTGTGCTGTAAACAACCCTACTGAGAGGAGAGAAGTACCGAGCCGAACGAAACGACAGTAAATGAGAGCTGCTGCTTTATCAGACAAATTTAATTTAATTTGGAAGCCTTATCAACACGGACTGGCTTCATTCACTTCCTCCACTGCTGTATGCTGAACTAACTAGCAGACACTGCGCAGAAAGTCGACGTTGTTCGAAACTCCACCTTCTGTTTGCTGATTGGCCCAGAAAAAATAAACTACAAGCTGAAACCGTGCAGAAAATCGATGTGGCCCGGCTAAAAACCTGCCAGCGAAATCCTTCTCTATGGGAGAAGTCCCAGACGGAGCAGTGAAGGGAAACTAGAATTGAGCGGAACTGCATAGGAAGGCAAGGGCCAGGCTAGAAAACCTCCACTTTTTAAATAAAAGTTCTCTAACTTTCAAATATATTTTGACTGCTTTTCTCACAAGAGAAACGGCTACTGGGCTGCACAGCCAAAAGAAACACTGGCAAGAGGGCGAAGGGAATCCTGAACTACTGAATGATGAAAAAGTAGCCTGCATGTTTCCATCATCTAAGATTGTTTTATTCAGACACATTTTTTCTGGGTATTCCCATTAGGGTTTTATTTTCATCATATTTTTTGGCACAAAACTAACTAAGAATAATAAAATCAGCTTTTTATACTCTTTTAAATTGCCAAAATGTCTACTAAGCATAACCAAAAAATTACAACAGATTGTGAGGGATATAATGTATTTCACAGCCTAAATGGAGTTTTAATGCTGCATATTTTTCAGCAAATGTATTACTGCGGTAGATGTTTTGTAGAATCACCATTAGATTAATGGTTAAAGTCACTGAAACCTGCTTGCCTAAACCAATTAGACTTTTATGCTAAATTGACACGGCCGATTTGGAAAGAGGGCAACTAGCTCTGTGGCAACAATTTGTTTTGAAAGTGTTTTGAGTTTTCAAAAATCCACACTTGTTTGGTTTGCCAACTGGCATACAAGACGACGTGTTTAAAGACAGTGAGGGCAAAAGAGGGTAAATGTAATAGGAGAGGCATACAATGAGGTGGCTGAGGGGGTTCACTAAAGGTTTTGCAAGGGATAAAACAATGAGAAGGCATATAAATAGCAAACAAACACCCACTTATTATACCTACACATGCTTTAAAGAATGTCTTAATTATATAAAATTTGCTGTAGATGATGTCTTTTTTGGCCAATGCTCAGTCATCCATTCACTCTTAGGAATGTCTCTGTTTAGCAGAGAGAAGCCAGAGAGTTGCCCTGCCCTGGCCTGCTCTGTTATGCCTGATAAACTCTGCTTCTTCACTGGAACATATGACTGATTCTTGCTTGGTGCAACTGGAACAAATGACATCACTGATTCCTGGTATCTCTTTCTGTTTGTACGTACCCCACCTCCCCTTTCACTTGCTGTATTTTCTGTTTTCTACCTCTTTCTTTCATGTCTTTTGTACAGTACTATTTTACTGCATGTATGCAGCTCTCTTTTGTGTTTACAGATTTTTCAGAGTGTTCGTTTTATGGCAATGGACAAGAAATTACTTGCTTTTTTAAAAAGCAATCAATTCAAAGGCTGCTATTCTCATGATAGGCGTTAGTACAAAGTGTCAATGGAAAAAAGCTCCCCCGTCATGGAAATGGTGTTCCTTTTTTTTGTTTTGTTTTTTGTTCTCCACCATTTTCCACCCAAGGGTAGTTTCGAATGAAAAGAAAAGTTAATAGTCCATGTAAAACCCTCTCACATCTATTTTCAGATCTGCTAATCTATGTTTAAAAGACCGTCTGGCACAAGGCCAGCAAAGTAGTCATTTTAGGCACACATGTACCTCCTTGCTGTAAAATATTCTTTGACTTTTTTGTGAGTTAAACTATGGTCATTAGATGATATCCATCTGAAAAAGGCCAGAGACAACAACTTTTTTGTTCTGTTGGCTTTAGCCCTTTGGAATGTGTGGAACATATTTAAATTAGTCTAAATGTAAGAATGGATAGGCTTGTGTATATGGATGTGGTTGCCCAGACAATCTCTTGTTTGTGACTGCTCAGGATGGAAACTGGTGCCCTTTTTTTCAGAAGCCATTAAAATCAAATGTTCCATATTGATATTTGTTGACTCACCTTTGGGCTCATCTGTGGTGGATGGGCTGTGAGTACCAGAGGGCATCGGTTGAACAAGAGACTTTTGATCGCTTTGGATCTCATTGCTGATTGGGTTGCTGCTGCGTGGAAGGACCGGTGGCTGGTAGGGCTTCATTAGAGGTGGTGATGGTGGAGGGGACTGAGGCCGAGGCTGGGCAACTGGAACATAACGTTGAGGGGGTCGAGTCTGGCACTGCTCCTCCAGCATGGCAATAAGAGTCGACTGATTTGTGGCCAAAGATGCTAAGTGAAGATATTTGTGCTCAAGATCTTTGTATCGACTGGTGAGCTGCTGCATCTCAGAAGTTTGGTTCAAGATCCTGTTCTCCATCTGTGCTAACTCTAGGGCATTGTCTCTTTTTCGGATAATCTCATGGAGAAGTTGCATGTAGAGTTGAGTCACTCTTGAGTTCATATTTCTGCTCTCCTTCCTCAGAAGCTTGACCTCATTGACAATTCCTCCGTCCACCTCAACCAATTGCTGTAGAGTCTCAATCTGCCTCTTTTGTTTTTGTAGCTCCACATTTAGCAAATCTAACTCTTGTTTGTGGACCCGGTTCTCCAGCATAGCCTCTGGCTCCTTGGAGTTTACACAGATGGCTCCGGTAACTTTTTGTTGAGGCACAATAAATGTGTAGGAGCACTTGTCCTGCGGCTGTTCAGCTGGCGCCCGTTTGCTTCTTCCAGCGTAGAGAAACTCTCCTTCAAGATCATCCTCACTGCTTCCAAATTCTTGGGTCTTGTCTTTGCCATGGTTACTGCCTGGCAGACTCCCTTGCGTCAGCTGGACACCACAGGCTAGTCCATAAACGAGAAGGACCCCCAGCAGGACTATTGGAGGGGGATCCATGAGTTTGTGTCCAATTCACCAAAGCCTGAAGAGAATTTACATAAAAAATGCAGTTTATGATTACATTATAGTTTCATAGAGGTCAACTTTGTAAAGGTTAGGCAGAAATTTTATGAGCATTAAGAATGGGGTGGTATTTAGTTTCTAATACCTCTAAACTATCCTCAAATTGTACCCAAATTAATGACTTATTGTCTATTTAGAATTACTTGTCTTTTCTTAACATGCACTTATACAGTTTTATGCTTCTAATAGATGTTTTACCTACATTTCTTAGTTTATGTATACTATTCTAAGAAAAAAAGTGATTTAAATAAAACAAATGTTAGCTTAAAGAAAACTAATAAGGCCACAAAATCATTGCCTGATTAGTTCTGAGCAAAACATCCAAAGGTGCATGTAAACACAAAGGGAAAGCAGCTGGTGTTAGACTTTCACTGTCATCTTTGTGGGTCATAGGCTCTCAATAACCAGTCAGAGCTGCTTATGCTTGTTCTTTCATGACCCACTGCTTTGATTGCACTTCTTTTCTGTTGTAAGAGACGGCCCAACTTTGTTTTGGTTTTAGTGGAGTAGAGGGTAGTTTGAGCTTTCACAGCATCCTCCTCTTTCGCTGATGTGAAAGAGGAGAAGGATCCTGGGGCTGCTGCTCGATTGTGAAAGGTTGTGATGATAATAAACACATAGTGATAAGTTCTCGTTTTGCTAGATTTTTCCTGCAAAATTGTTGCCTGCAGCTGAAAAGTTGGCAAGCTTTACCTTTTGTGTGTGTCTTTTTTTTCTTTCAAAGTTAGGAAAATATCTCATGCACTTGAGACAGAAATTCTTGAATGGTTCCTGGTTAATGGTGACCACAACTGGTAGAATTTTTTGGTCCACCCAATAAGAGATGGTCACCACAGTTAAATTTCAGTTACGAAAAAGAAAAACAACTTTAATTAAGTCAGTTTTACAGACGTTCGGTTAATAATTGTGTATTGTTATAGCTGAGTATCATCCTCAACACATAATATAAGTGTGAAAATACGGTGTAACATTTTTGTAAATGTTACACAAGTTGCACTTCACGTATTTTCCTCCTACACACATGCAAATGCAGTTGTAATTTTTTTTTTGCTTTATTTTTAAACAGTTTTTGGTGACCTTAAAACAATTGAGTGAGTCCTCTGGACAGGTTCTTCTTTGTAGAAAATGGTAAAACTGCAACTCCTCAAACTGAAGAAATCTCTTGGAGAAGAGGCAAAACATTTTTGACAAAGAAGAACATGTCCTGTCCAGATAACCTGTTCATTTTTTTTTAAAAGATTTTCTGCCTGGTCTATTTAGATGCATTGGGACAGTTTTTGAAGACTGGTTTAATAACTATGATTAAACAAAAACTGTTGCTATTTGTACATACACTGGACATACTATTACCATTTGACTGCAGGACCCTAATGGGTATCATTTATTCTGTTTCCTTCACGTTATATTTGCAAACTTCAGGGTAAAGCAGAACATTTATTTTGACTGAAGTAATGCATTTATTAAAAACATAAGTTTATATGTCTGTATGCATTTATTTTGTTCTCTATTAACTGGAATGAACAGTAAAAACATGGAAGCACTGAATGTAAAATCCAAACCTTGTCAGGTTGCAACTGTCAAAGATCTGAGAGGAAAAGGCCTTACTTGGCCCCTGCTGAGCAAAACAGTTGCTGTTTTGACTTCCCTTGTCAGAAAATACATTAAACTCATCTGTGATGTATAAAATGTACAAATCAGAATTTTTATGGTGGCTACACTGTTCTCATTTTTTACTGACATAAAGTTTGATTTGCTGATGATGTTTTGCTTTGAGCCTTGCATGTGTAAATCCAGTTTTTACTATCAAAAGTAATCTGCTCATAAAAAGCCAAGAAACTGAATCAATCTGTCCAACAATGTGCTCATCTCTTTAATCAGTTGTCAGGAGAGTGTTGAGCTTAGTTTGCTGTCCTGGCTCTGGTTTTCTTTGGGCAGCTGCCATGGCCTGTCCTTTACACAAACACTCCTTTTTTTAACACAGGCCTGGACTGATTTGCTAGTGGAAAAACTGAGACACCACCAGGTGATACTATTCAAGGCACTGCTATTGATTGTGTTGCATCAGTCCTGTCCATGGCCACCTTCAAAAGAGGAAAGTAATGTTTGTTGCTTGTTGGTAGCTTTAAATTGGGTGACATACTGATTTAGTTCAAATCTGTTGCGTTAAAAGCCATAATTACAAGGAAAACAGATTCTAAGAACTTTCTGGAAGATTACAAGATAATTAAAAGAGCTGTTTCACCTCAAATAGTTAAATATTATTTTTATAACAAAAATGGCATAACATTATCAAAGATGCAGTGTTATTAGAAGTAGATAATATAGTCTCTGGTCTCTATTTAAGATAATTAAAAAGTTATTATGTTTTGCATGTTGGAGTGCATTGCTTTCCTGTGTAACATACAGCCAGAGTCAAAAAGAGACTATCTATATAAGGATTTATATATAAAGCTCATAATTACAACATAAGAATATTAGCCTTAGGTGTGTATACTTCCCATATTTTTTGTCTTTATGAAAAAAATCATACAGAATATAATTTTCACTAATGAAATGAAGGGGAAAAAATGTTTCATTGTAATCTGGGCACACAGCCAGCACATTAGATTAGAGAACTGGAGAGCAGAAATGCAGCGCTTTTCAAGAGCATGACCCTTGGCACAATCAACCTTTCTTATTCTATCTGTCTGCAACTGTCCATGTAAAAACTTTCTCTTACCGCAGAACACTTGGAAATGAGAGAGTCTTGTGAATTTTGTAAAAAAATAAAATCTCTATCTTGAGCTGATTGCTTTATAAGATATTATCAAAACAGTACCTAACACCTCTCAACTTAGATGTAACAACTATAAACAAATAAAAACTTAGTACAGATACATCTGCTTCCAATTTAGAATGACGCTATCTTTAGCTGCTACATCATATAAAGTATGACATAAGTCTTAAATGGAGCTTGCATCCTGTGATGTCACCTCTGCAAACGCTTGACACAAAGATTATACTGCCACAGTTATAAGTGTAGTTTTCATGAACAGAATTGCATTGTCGATGATTTGCGGAAGAAATCACTAATAATAGAGTACAAATAGGCACACACTGAGATAATTAGAGCAGTTCTGAGCCTGCTCTTTGTAATGTGTTGATGAGTGGATTTAGCTTGTGGCTCTTGTGGTTTCTCCCCTGGGATCCTGATCCTGTCTCTTTGAAACTTTTTTTTCCCCCCCTCTGCTGTAGAGTGCCACTTTAGACATTGTTAGCCTGGAATCTCCTGCTCTAGGCTTTGTTACTCTTCAAAGCCGAGGGGAAACTGTTAGCAGCTTGTGATGAAATATGTGTTTACGAGTGTTTGCAGTGTATCTCTGCTGTATTTTTAAAACTTTTTTTTGGTTCTTGGATTCTTCAAAAACAGCACTTGCTGGCTCTGTATCCCAAGTACCACGAGAGTGCCATCTGTCCCAGCAGAAGCAACCTGTTATTAAGTGAAGTTTGCCGTAGGGAACAACAGAAGACCTTCACCTCCTTCTTATCTGTTACCAGGAACTAAGAATTGGTTTGCTCACACAATCTGCTGCCCAGGAACTGCAGTGATTAACAGGTGTTGAAGTGTCAAAAAGACAGCCAAGTGGTCCACAGTACATTGTGACTCACTGGTCCACTAAGAAGTTCCTAAAGTTGGCTTCACACAAACATGTTTCGGTTAAACTGTCTTCAGGTGAGAAGTCCACGTTTACTCGACTCCTTGCTGTGCTCGAGCCGTTTTGGTCATGCTTCGCACATATTAATTAGAAAGGTGGACCGACTGCTCTTGCACAGACTGGCTCATATCTCTTGCCCCAGCCCCTCTCATTTCTGCCCGAGCATGGCATTCTTCGCATTCTTCGTCACCTCATTAGAGAGACCTGCCATACTCACATGGAGAATCAGTGGCAATGGCAGACAGGCCCTCTGCACAGAGGACCCCCCACCCTCTTCGTCCCCGTCGTACCTACTGTATGACACGTCTACTGACCCCATTCATTCCCAGTGTCCTACTTTTTCTGTGTGAATGCTTCATAATCACATCATCAGCATCCACAATGGGAGATCACAACACAACTACACAGCACCTTATTTGTCGGCTGCCAGAAAAAGAGGAGAGTTTTGTGCTGCATATTCAAATTAGTGCCAGCTCTGCTGCGAGCCATCCTATACAACACCCAGTATGTGTTGGATCAGAGTCAAAGTCAATTTGCCCATGGTAATCTGCACTATTACTATAGCTCAAGAGGAATCTCATTCTTGGCTCCGCAGTGTAATCTTTGTGAGTAACACAGGACAGTCAAAACATGATTAACCTCAGCCGCTTGCTCAGTTTGTTATTAACTCACTTTTCGCTATTTGTGTCAAAGATGAACGTTTGGATGCCTTTTCTCTATATCTCGTACATGATCGATGACAGGAAAGCAGAGGGTCTTGGGGGAATTGTTTCGATAAGTACCATCATTGTACCTCAAAGCCCCCTTATCCAAACACTACTTTGGCAACAGAAACAAAGAGGGGATTCAGATGCCGGCTCCCCTGTCGTTTTTTCTTCCAAGGGAACATCCTGAAGCTGCTGTCTGCTTGCCATGGTAAGACTATTTTTTCTTTCCCATTACATGGGAATTATTTCTTTTTGTTAAGATAATGAAAAGAAGCATAGATCATTCAAGATCCTTGTTAAATTCTGCATTTTACAAATGTTATTCACTTCCACTACTTGTGCTGTTTTGCAGATCTTTGTTTTTAAAACGCATTTTCTAAAATAAATCAATTGCCAAAGAAATGCTCCATCCTGAAAATCTAATCACAATCAACCATGTGGGTTCAATTAGATTCCAAATGTAATAATCAAAGTCAGTCCATTTACTCATTGTAAAGGAAACTAAGCCTCTGGCACCAAAGTTTGAGTCAGATAACAGATGCTGCGTGACAAGTGGTGAATCTGAGATGACTCAACGTCCTGGTGTGGAGTTCAGCAGCTTTTGAGTGTAGAGCCAGAGACTGACTTTATCATCTAAGTGCACAGGCTTAATGTCAGGAACTTGGCTCATTTATTAAAATTCAGTAACAAAGATCATCTTTTCCACTGCAAAATTAACTGTTGGTAATTATTTCTTGCAAGTAACCTTTGTCACAATATACTATGAGCTTTCTCAGCCAAATTAACCAGGTTGTAAGAAAAATATTACAACAAAGAGTCACTTTATGCTTACAAGATAACTGCACAGTGCTGATGAGGCTCCTTTAGTTGTTCTGCCTTCCTCCTAGAGTTGTTTGACGTTTTTCTTGGTAGAAAATCATCCCAAGTGAGAAAGTTTCACCCTTACGTTTTCCTCTCTCTCTCTCTTTGCTCTCTGCCCATCCACTTTCTGTCCCCTCAGTCCAGTTCACCAGTGGAGAAGCAGTAGGGTTTTAGTGTTTGCTACTAGAATAATGTCATCTGCCCAACAGTAGCCCAACCTCCCAGATCTTTTCTGGCAAACATTAAAAGTTGCTCCAAAAATCCTCAGAAAAAAAAAGTTTGAACCCTTAGAGGAGACAAGTGGTACCTTTTCTTTTAGTTTGATGATGGAGGTAATTTCCCAGTAAAGTGTTTGAGTCCAGGGCCAGGTGGTGGACTGCCTGTGGCCCGTTAGGAGAAGACTGTCACTTTTCTGCGGGCTGAATCCATCACTTCTGCCTCACAGCTCTAAGAGGCTGTCTCTCTCCGCTGCACCTCTCTCACTCTCCCTCCTTGGTGTTTTTTAAATGATGAAAAATGCTCCCGGAGCCTCCCCCTCTCCCTTAAAATGAACACATTCTTGTTAAAAGCAGCAGCCTGTTTATCTCCACCCCTCCTCCCCGTAGTACAAAAGAGATCCACATGCAATGCGCAACACACACACATACCACACACTACTCAAATTTCAAACCCCCTTGCCATTGGCTCACCACCACCACGCATTCTGGCTATGGGTTGCATGTTTTGTTTATTTCTGGTTGTGGACAGTGGCGCTACACTGATCAGATTCTAATTGGTCATGAATACACAGTTTTCACTGTGAGAGAGAGAGATGGAAGAAAAGAGTGACAGATGGAAGCAGATCCAGGTGTTTGACTGGGACCAGGGGCCTCATGCATAAAGGATTGCGCAGCTTTCACACTAAAAGTTGACGTACAGTACGGACAAATTTGGAAAAGTGCGCCGCACCAAAAAATTCAGATGTATAAAACCATGCGCACGCAGGTTCCTGCGCACCTTTCCTTTATATAACCCAATGAAGATGGAACTGAGCGCACGTGAGATTCAGTACCTCCCCTGACACGCCTCCATTTAAATATGTAAAATAGGTGTAAATGTGTCCAGCGTGTCAGATTCTCCTCAGATTGTCCTCTCTGTGGGATCAGAAATGATTTTCAGATATAGGAAAATATAAATTAAATGGAGAATGAGTGAAAAAATTGTCTGAATAAGTGGTGGGGTGTAAAAATGAGTTTGCCACATTCAAAGGTGTGTGTGAGTGTTGGCGTGTACGCCCGTGTGCTGTTATTTTCAGCGGCGCATGAAGCTGACAGACATTTCCACCTTTACACGTCTTTAATAAATGACTGTAAACACAGAGGAACTGATGTTTGGTAGAACTTAGAAAAATATTTATTAAATAGTTGAAGTGAAGGAACGAGTCGCAGCGCTGCGAGTTCCTGCCGCGGTGTGGGACTGGGAACAGCTGACATTGGTCCATACGCACAACTTTACGCAGCAATCTATTGCATCTTGTGGAGCAGAGGAATCATCACAGCTGAGCTGTTCTGAATTAATATGCTGAGTTGACAACATTTTTTTCTCAGTGAAAATTAAAAATGTTTCTTAGACAATTCACACATTTTATTTCTCTCAGCTATGTGTGCGCTCCGCAGGCCATGCGCTCTGCGTGTGTTTCCAACTACGTGACAACAATATAAAAACTTTACAGTTTACAGGCTGGACTGAGGTTCTTCGATCATTTTTAGACTGATCTATTTTCTTGTCTGAGGTTAAATGATTTTCAGTCCCAAGGTTCAGTTTCATGATCGTTCAGTTTAAACAATAAAAATCAAACAAAAAAAATCTAACACCGTGTTCAGTCGCTCCTTACATCCAGAAAATAGAACAGAGTCATATTTCTGTGCATTCAGGTCAGATTCATGACTTTGTGGGTTAAAACTGTCGACTGAAAAACTTTGCGTGGCTGCCGCACATTCTCACCGCAGGTAAAAAGTGTGTGTAAATACACGCAGACTTTCACGCAACGTTGGTTTTTATACATCACAATGTGGGCATAGAACCTGGTGCATTGCCACCTTTTTTACACGTACGCACCGTGTATACATGAGGCCCCTGGTCTGGTTCTGTGACTACTGACCTGGGTTTAAAGTCTGGAGCTGAGATGTCTGAAACAAGCTGGAGGTCCACATCTTGAACCTAATCATGTTAGAAGACGATTACATCATTACTTTGAAAACAGTGCTGTCCACATGTTTTAGTGGATAAGAGGATATGAAACACATCAGTGAGAATGTGGAGCTCTGACAGTTATGCCAGTGATCAACTATAACTTTGTCACGCAAAGTCTTGGTCTTTGGTGCTGTTGTCTGTTCTTTTCTCTTTCTGTTTTTAATAAGTTTTGTTTTGTTTATTTTTTTGTTGCCCTTCACAACTGTTGGCTGCTTTTCAATTTTTTTTCTGTTCTATGTTTTTATAAAAGTTTGTGTACAATCAGTAGAAACATCGGAAAGCTACATCACTGAAGAATTATAGCCGCTAATAAAATAGGTTTATAATACTTCCAAGCTGTTTTGTTATTGAAATGAATTAATAAATAATTAAAGAGAACAACTTTGGTCTAACTTGTAGCAGCACCAGATGGTGAACAGATCACTCATTTTGACAAATAAAACTTTGATTTCATGCTGTCACACCTAGAAATAGTCATCCTTTTCATGCTGTGTTTTATTACTCAATACGTGTTGATGTTTGCACAAACAGTTACTTTTGGGTTTTATTGTGGCTTTTTGGTAAATAAAAAAAATCCGGTTTTGCAGGAAAGTTCTTTTACAATTCACAGGATGTGCCATTCTCCCTTTTAAGCTTCAAATATGTTACAGATGGGGACTAACTTTTATGTGTTTACTACTGTATTATAAACTCAACTGTTACAGTTCATTAAAAAAATCAACAAGGAGGAAATTAGCAGTTCCTGCTACATCACTCTTAATTTATATAACAGGCATTTCCGTTACTTCTTTGTATCCAAAAAGTTTTTTTTCTTAAATGAAGGCGTACAAGAGGTTTGCAAATTTATAGATGATCTGTTTCAGCTGAACATATTCCTTAAAGAGATGAGCAGTTAGAAACAACCGTTAGGCTCGATGCCAGCTGGATGTACTCAGCAGTTTAAAGGAAAATAATTCAGATCAGTACTAAAATTTATGAGGCAAAACCTTGTAATTTTTATGTAATCCTGATGGCAAACATATAAACAGACTAAAAAGTCAGTTTTTTTGCTTTAGTTTTTGTGCAGTTACTTTTTAAAGTTGGGGTGGGGAAGCGGGGTATAATGCAAAATCAACTTTTTGAGCTTTATACAGTTTCATGTTATAATGTTGTTCCCTAATCAAAAACATACCCAGTGTGTTGCTTTGACTCATTCATGCATTTATTTTTAACTCTCCTATGATACCCATGTGGAGCTGCCAAAATGCTTGTTGGTGCAAAGCACCCAAAGCTCCTCCCATAGAACCCAGTATGCAGCAGAGGCACTGTCCTACAGAATACCCCTCCCCTGCAACTCCCCCACACAGCTCCACCAGAGTAACAGCAGCGACAATTAGCAAACAACCGGTGGAAATGCACATCTGTTGAGCTTGTAATTCTAACTACTTTTAAAAAATGTCTACATTGAGGAAATGTACTTTTGGATTTCAAAGAGCCTACCCTGTTTTTACCATCCCTAAGGATGACGTAATTCATCAAAAAAGGTTGGACTTCATTTCTAGAAACACCCATCCTCTAAAAAAATCATATAATATATACAGTATATATAT